AGATTAACCACGCCTTGCTTGAATCCCATTTCCATGATAAGCCAATCCAACCAAATAGCTTCCTTTGTCGCTTTTGCTGCTGCCACATATTAAGCTTCCGTTGTTGACTTAGCTACGCATTTCTGCAAGGTAGACCTTCAACTAATGCTTCCACTGCCAAGTGTAAACACATACCCAATTGTGGATCTCCTTTTATCTAGATCATGTCTGTAGTCAGCATCAACGTAACCAAACAAGGATTTTGCATTGTCTAATAGACCATCAAACAATAAGCCATAATCCAAAGTACTCTTTAAATATCTCCAAATCCATTTCACAGCTTTCCAATGAACTTTTCCTGGATTTGACATGAACATGCTCACCTTGCCCATCGCAAAAGCAGTGTCCGGCCTAGTGCACACCATCAAATACATGAGGCTATCTACGGCTTGTTCATAGGAAACACATGACATATTTCCTTTCTTCACAGCATTGATAGCACATTGAGCTGCAGAGAGTTGAAATGTGCCACCAAAGAAGTCCATACTCCTTTGGAATTGATCATGTTGAACTTGTCAAGTATACGACAGACATACTTGCCTTGACTCAACCATAGTCTCTTCTATTCATGATCCCTATGAATCTCCATGCCTAATATTCTCTTCGACTCCCCCATATCCTTCATCTTAAATGTAGATTTCAACTTACTCTTGCATTTATCAACATCGGATTGGTTTTTTGCCAGTATGAGCATGTCGTCAACGTAGACTACTAAAATGATGAGATTGAAAGTATCATCATTTACCATCTTCATGTAGACACAAGGATCATACACGCTTTGTAGAAACCTTGTGCCTTCATGAACTCATTGAATCGCGTGTTCCACTGTCTGGGAGCTTGTTTCAATCCATACAATGATTTCAACAATCTACAAACCAACCTCTCTTTGCCTTTGACCTCAAAACCAACAAGTTGTCTCATGTAGATCTCCTCCTCTAAATATCCATGAAGAAAAGTTGTAACCACATTCATCTGATCCATAACAAGATCATATATGCTTTTCCTAATCTACAGAAATCTTGAGTATTTCGTGCCTCAGGCATGGGCCGGGGGCAAAGGTTCTCGTTTATATATGGTATTATACATATTATGTCTCTTCTGTTAACCCCCCTCCTCTGGGCCATAAGGGTTCGGGTTGATTTTAGTATATTGGGTTGTTTTTAGTTTGGCTGCATTTTTATTGATCAGCCATGAATGATCATTGTTTTGACAAAAACAAAAGTAAATGGTTATGCTAGAAGGTGCAAAATTAATTGGAGCAGGAGCAGCTACCATTGCTTTAGCGGGAGCTGCTGTAGGTATTGGAAACGTTTTTAGTGTGCACTTCGGCAGAGCGCGTTTGGATCAACGAAGGTTAACAGATTATCGCAAATATGTGTTTGGTATGTGCAGCCAATGCACATACCAGACGAATTGTAGCATACTTAGCTACCGGTGAGAAAACTTTGTTGTAATCCACGCCCTTCTCTTAGGTGAAACCTCTAGCCACCAGCCTAGCTTTGAAGATTCTTGCCTCGTCTCCTCCTGGATAGTTTTTCAGCTTGTACACCCACTTGGAATCACTCAGCGTTTGATCCGTATGAGGCTCAACCAACTCCCAAATTTTTTTCATCAATCAGAGATTCCATCTCATGCTCCATAGCAGCATTCCAATCAAGCTTGTTGACCGAAGCTTGAGCTGTCCTGTATGAAGAAGGTTCATTTTCTTCCAAAATCAACGCCATGCCATCTCTATCTTCGACATCAAAGTCATAATCTTCTTGAATGGATGAATTTGCCCATACATTAAACCTTTCAAGAGCCCTACTAGCACAATGCGATCTCCTAGTAGACGTTTCCGGTTGATCTCTATTGTCTCAAACTATTGCAATAGGCTCATCAATGATAATTCGCTCATGTTCCTCCTATTCTTGATGCACATGTGCTTCTTCTTGTGATAGATCATTAGTGATACAATGATCAACTTCCTCCACAACGACATCCGTGACCGGAGATTTTCCCTTGTCAGTACAAGAAGTCTTAGAATTCTCCCCCTCTTTCAATAAGCCAAGCTCATTGAAAGAAACATCTCTACTGACAATCACCTTACGAGCTAGTGGATCTCATAGCCTGTAACCTTTCACTCCACTAGCATATCCAAAAAAACGACATTTCTTGGACGTAGGGTCTAACTTAGTTCCTGTGCTCCTTTGGTGTAAGAGGATAAGCAGTACAACCCAAAACCTTCAAGCCATTGTAATCCGCTATCTATTTATGCCTGAGTTCAAATGGTGTGGAAAAATGGATTGCACTAGAAGGAGAGAGGTTTAGCAAATAAACTGCGGTGTTGACGGCTTCGGCCTAAAACTCTCCTGTAAACCAAATTCACTTAGCTCTGATACCATTTCTTAACGTAAAACCTAAAAAAAAGTATGAATCACACGAGACACTCATATAACGTGGTTCACCCTCAAGGGCTACATCCACGGCTGAAACACGCGAGAGAATTTACTTATAAGTGAAAACACAATACTTCTGTACTCCGAAGTCTTGGCCTTGGGGTTATATATATACCCAAAGCCAACGACACACCTAGCTATAAATAACTTTAACTTGAGGTTACTTCTTAACCTGAGTTAACCTCAACATATATTTGTACTCCATCATGTTTTGACTACCGTTTAATTTCATTTAGCTCTAGTTTAAAGAGGAATCTTTTGTTAGATTTTCTTCTACAACTTTCCGTGGAGTAATTATATTGGCTAAGTAGTTTGTTGTTTTCTCTACATGTGTAAGGAGGAGATTGTGAGTGATAACACATGTAGGCGAAATCCTAATTTTCTAAAATATCAATGACGGTTTTGGCGGTTTACTTAACCCATCGATGGCGGTAGGTACATGCACCTGAAAAATGCAATTAGGATTTCTAGCTTCCTGCTGTACTACTTAGCGCGGCGAGTCTTCTCATCAGTAGAATATATTTTTGGTTCTCGTGGACGTAGTCACGTTGGGCAAACCACGTTACATCTATGCATGTCTATCTTCTCTACTCGTGTTTTTTGTCAGATTTTTTAACCTAATATGAAAAATATGAAAAAATATCATGAAATATTTATTTTTAAAAATATTCCAATTAAATAATACTTTTTATACTATTTTGAATTTTTATTTTTTCAAAATACAAAACTTAAATGTATTTATAAGTTTATATAAAAAAAATTTTATATAAAGGCAAACTTCAAGTGCTTTAAGAAATTGTTAACAAGGATTTTTTATTTAGTCATGTTAAAACATTCTATTCAATTTTTATAATATTTTATAATGCGCGTTTAAAATAAACAAAAGCTCGTTGATTTGAATCATTAATTTTTTAATTTCATGAAAGATGCTTTAACACTACATTTTAGACCATTTTTAGAAGAATTAAAAAATTAAAATTATATTATGAATTATTTATCATTATTACTGCATTATAATTATGTGCAATATTTAGTTTTCATTCCAAGAAGTCAAAAGTGGAAACTTTTATTGATATCATAAAGTTGTTGATAAATTTTATTTAGAATTTTATAAAAAAGGAAAAAAAAATTTAACTAAAATAGTTTTTTCATATCATGAAATAAATATTGCTGCAGCTTGTATCTGAACATACAATCTTATCTTTTAAACTAACACTAAAAAGAATATAATGTATACTTTTGCAGAAGTATCACCACTGATGTATAGTATTTTTAGTACAAGACACTCCATGAATGATTCACATGAATTATTCAGAATCAAATTTCAATTGTGATATACATGAAACAAAATGTAGAAGTATTAAGATTCAGATTTAAAATATCATGTGCATGGATCAATTGTAGAAGTAACCAGATCTTTAATTCCGATGAAAGTAATTTACTCTATATTTTGTCATGTTATTGTAGTTAATTTTTGTCTAGAAGTTTAATTTCTTTTGTAATATTTATGTATACGATGTAAACTATCGTGAAAACATACCTTGTTCATATTCACAACCCATAATTGCCTAGATGTAGATTAGAAAAAATAATTTCCAATGTGATTATGGCATCATTTGAACTTAACAAACTTAACATTAAGTCAAACAAGATAAAACCAACAAGTGAACGTGTGCTAATACCCAAAAAATTGAAATGGAATGTATATCTAACAACATATAATGTATCTAACTATCCAAATCAAACATGATATGAAATCAACATGAACTTCGGATGTATCTTTCACAAGTTTAGAAAAGAAATAAGATAGAGAGAGAAATAAGGATTTCTGAAAATAAGTCATACAAAAGATTCAGAACAAATGTTGTACTATTACAGCAATTAACTCTATCTGATGAGGAGAAGGTAAAATGTTACGTAAGTCGCACAGCATAAATATCCGGTATTTAGGTCTTGTGCTTCGAAGTGAATCAGGATTAGTATTTCAGTTGATGGTCTCTACATTAGATCAACACAACGAGGTGAAATCGATAGGTAGCCACGTCTGGCGTTAAGTGCATTTTGATACGATCTAAATACTCGGCTCGTTCATCGAAAAGGGGTAATTGTTCAACGGCTTTCATATCTACAACGCACTATTTTCATGGAGATTGAGCCGCACCTAGGTCATCAGTTCACAGTCTGCAGAACCGGATTCACATTCGCTGCCCTTGTATGATACTATATGATGATATGATGCTTAAAACTTGAACTGCGTGGATATTGGGTGTACAGATCTTTAAGAAAAGAGAAGGGGCGTCTCATCTGAGATCCGCTTTCCTCTTGATACATGTTGATACTCGTTCTGGGAGTTTCCTTAGACATATATCCGAAAAATTATAAATCACTTAAAAAAGTCAGCTACTACTGCAGTCAATTCACGTCTACTGGAAAACAAGTACAGTAGTACGCTCACTCCTACTGAAGAGACGAAATTCGAAAGGTAGATTTAGCCTGAATTTGGTCCAACTCACACATTGGAGCATATCAGAAACTCAAGACTGCACTTTCTTCGTTCACACGGAGTCAACAGAGCAACTCAACAGTCAACATGTACTTTCAGAGATTCGACTTTAAACGTTCGTAAGTTCACAGGCATTTTCGTAGACTTTTCATATAAACATAACAACACGTTACATTCATCTGACCATAGTTCTTGCAAGAGCTCGGATTGCTAAAAATTGGCAAGCAAACAAGCAATGCCACGAGACCCCAGCCAAGAGTACACTTTCTTCCAATAAGTGGGACAGCTTTGTAGTCACCTTCTAGTCAGCATTCTTCCACATGTACCTACAAAACAGAAGCAAATTAAAGGTGGGTTCATATTTCTACAACCGGCGGATTATTGCTTCGGCTACAATACTGAAATACGGTCAACATCTACCCTCTCCCTAAGGAAGTTCCATAAAATCTACATTTCATAAAATTTGTAGTCCAGTTCCCAGAATCTCAGACGACAAATGAGAAAAAAAGCTGAGGACTAGATCCGAAACACACTTCTCCGGAGTTCGCAGAAGGAACAAGATTGAATTGCCAAGTACTTCTGTCAGTAACTGGGTCCCAAATGGCGTTTCGACCAGCTCATCTCCACAATTGAATCCGTGAACAAAGTGCGCGTATCATCTGACGCGCATATATCACAAAACAGCTTCCTTGATCTGCAATTGACTGATATAGAAACCGACAGAAGTTTGGCTTTTGTGAAATCATCTACCAATCATCACCAGACAAGATTTTACAAGCCTTGTGCTGTAAGGAGATTTACAAGTAATAAACTACATGGTGGTTTGATAAAAGAAAAACAACTGCTGAAAGCTGAGAAATAGTAATCTGCCCAGCAAAACTAAAGAACACTAACACTACTACCATTGTAAAGATCAGGGTCAATGCACCACAATTTGTGCTGATCAACTTAGGTATGCCAAGAAACCTCGTGGTAAAGAATTGTATACGGTACTCCTTGCTCCTTGCTCTGAACCCAAGAAAACTCCCCTACATGACTGTACAAGTCTTACAATCACCTTCCACATGTTTTGGTGCGACTGCAGGGTTGGATGAATGTAGCTTTGAAGACGGTTTTACTCCCTGACCTGCACAAGACCCTCGTTGGTTAGAGTTGCACCTGCGGAGGTTACTAAACTGGTGTCTCCAAGGACAAGATTGCAGGCTAGCAAGCTGAACCTCTTCTTCTGCAAACTAGAAGGCAAAATAAGAGTATCCGGCTTTAGGGTTTTTGAGGGCCACACCTTTGAGTGCTGAGGAGGGATATAGCACAAGGAAGTCAAACCAGAAGAAATCCGACACAGAATTGTGTTGCCTAAGGTAGAGCTATGACTGCTCAACGTATGTTGGGAGCTCAGAACTTCGCACAGATTTTTGTGCTTCGGGAGTCTGTGTCGTCTCCAAATGCACTGAAGGCCACATGGCGATCGAACCCTTACGTTGCGAGGGAAGAGGACCCAATTTCCTGGCAGCTGTTCCAACTAAAGCCATAGCAGCAGCACTAGGCGTAGGAAAAGGAGGCAAACCAAAAACTGCCCTTTTCGACGATAGATCTCTCATGCTAATCCTAGGATCAGATCCATTATCATCCATCCTCCTTACATGTCCTCCAGCTCTGTTTTCTTGTCCTCTACCGTCTCCTGAAAACCCCACACCATAGTTCGTTTGACCGTTGGCAACATAACCTGGAGCCTGACCGTTCCAGTGAACTTCCTTGGGTCTGGCAGAGGTTGGAGAGTTTGAAACGGGTCCAGGACCACTCCACTTAGACCCAGCTGGCAGCCAGCGAGATAGCCAACTTGAAGGTTTCTCTGCTCCAGCACCATTTTCTTGTTCTCTAGGCTGCACACCTGAACCCTCTACCTGAAAGTCCCAAGAGTTATGATTCGGGTGATGACGACTGCGCTTGGAAGGACCTGAAGTCCCGGCTTCGCCAACTACGTCACTCGGGTTCCTTAGCCTGCTCTGCTTTTGTCCGAAATTCCCTGTTTCATTCGGCCTAACCATCTTACTTCCCGATTCTCGAAACGCTTCACCGACCATGGGCTGAGCATCATGTGATTCCACATCTCTGCCAAGTCTAGCACCAGACTCTCTTGGATCTCTCCGATTGTCTAATTTGTTTGGTCCTTGTAACTCGCTACGCTCTCTCCTCCTCGCAACCAATCCTGGCGGTGCGCTCATCATTCCCTGCTGCCTTTTCCCTAAATGCATACCATCACTTTCGTTATCCAAGTTCGCCCCCCTTAAGTGCACTCCCTTACTCTTGCACCGATCCTCAACACCTGGAAAAGCTGGGGAGCATAAGTCAGAGCTGTTATTGCAGCCCATGGGCAGGGAAGGAGGAGAAGATCCACTAGTGTCATCTTTCTGTCCTGAAAAAGACGGCACGGGTGGTGGCCTGGAAGTTTTTACTGGACCGCGTTCCTGCAGCAGAAATGACAGTCAGAATATATCCATATGTTGTGAACATCGAAAAACTTTGCGCATATGTCAGCCAACACGCAGCCATTCAGATTTCGAATACTACACAGATCCTCGAGACGTCTATCAGCCCGGGAAGGGAAAGACAATCGATCAAGGGTTAGTCTGAAGGCCTCGACCTCCTGAACAACGTGTCCCAAGAAACCAAATGAAGGATAACAACAACTCTTCGGTATCGACTGATTACGAGGCAACCCCTACAAAAGGTAACTTCCCGGATACTCTGGGCGTAAGCTAACCCAAAATCCAAAAAAGTGTATACGCCACTAGATAGGAGTATCTGATAGACACAACCTCCTAAACTCTGGGTGTCACCGACGACTAAGAGGAGAGAAGTTTCTCTCATATGTTTCCATATTTGTCAAATTTGAGAGTAGCCCCTTGAGGTCGCGGCCGCCTCAAAGGATTACCGAAGAACAATTAATTGCACAGCCAACTGGATTCAAAATTCTACAAGATGGTGTATATGAATCCAAAACGACAACAAGAATGCCCGAAGGGTCCTCTTCACAAGCTGTCCTTAGTAGATGCTACATTGCTATATCAGAATCTTTTCACTTGAATGTGATGCCATTGAACGTACATAGTTATCCTCATCTTCGTTAGGAGACCGTGGTCCTCGCGAACCTGTACAGCAGTCGAGACACAAAAGTCGATTGTTAGTGTGTTCATCCGTTCGTGACACTGTGTAGGAGAATGCGTCTAGTAGTAGCCAAGTGTAGAAAGAACAAATATGGGAGAAGTACTGATAAAGATCAAAAGTTCTTTCACACGGAAAGATTCTCAATTTTGTTACTGTTAAACGTCCACTTCAGTATTGATGTAGGTCTAAGAAGTCATTCTTCGTGATCATCGGAGACATGCGTCTGCCATCACATACTGCCTCCAGCGTCCAGTAGTATTCGAAATTTGGAAGAGTTTTCAACACATTTCATGGCATACAAAGATTTCTCAGGGCTGCTGAACACCATCAGGACAGCTCATGCGATGATTCAGGGTACTCTAATATTCCTTATTGACATTACCTTCCATCGCAACACTGGAGTTCCTCAAGCCAGGAGACAAGCTTCCAGTGGGTTCAATGCTCCTTGCTCGTTTGTAAGACACGTCCTTTGAAACTCCTATACTCGAACCACCAGCATCGCACTTGTATCTATTAATTTCCTGTCCTTTGGGATGAGCGTTGGAAGCGTGCACGGCGTTAGGAGCTTGTGACGAAGGAGTGTGACTGTTCTGAGAGTGAAAGGCGGAGCGTGCGTCATCTGTAGGGTTGTGGCCATCATCCACAGGCCAAGGAGAGCTCGAGAAATGCGAAGACTGGTTGTCGAATACACTGCGGGCCTCTGCTGAGGATGCAGGGACTCCTGCCCCAGTTCTGGCACTACCGCCGCTCTCATTGTCCTGATTACCACTGGCCCTCGGGCCACCGGACATCGGATTTCCTGGATCCTGCCCTTCGTGAACCCTAAGGCGACCATCGAGAGGCAGCGTTCCAGTCGAGGAGTTCGAATTTGGGGGTTCAGCCAGCTGATTTGGGAGCTTGTAGACAGCGAACAGAGATGACCACGGTGGCTTCGCAGACTTGCTGTCCGGTCCATCGAGCTGGGGCTTTCGAGGACCGAACAAAGGTGTAAGCAAAGACGTCTGCTCTGGTCTCTCCTGCGAAGCGTCTCCTCCTTCCTCACCCGTGTGAGCGTCCTCCTCGAGCCGGTGGGACGGACTGCGGGCGGGAGGAACAAGAAACGGCTGCTTCCCGAAGGAGATGCGGGACGGGGATGACTGATAAGGAGCGAAGGGCTGTGACATGTGCGAGGCTTGCTGCTGTGGCTGGCCAACATCGGCAGGGCTCTTCTCCTCGACGGCAACTTCCTTCGCCTTCCGACCTTCGGTTCCGTTGGCAACATAAACATGCTTGCCACCCGGATCAGGATTGGTCCGGGTGTGGTACGTACCTTCCTGCTGCAGACCAGAATCAAACCTTCCCTCCTTCGCCATAATGGTACCATACGAATGGGTTGGAGCCATGCTCCTACCGGCCCTGTCGACACCACTTAGCATCGCAGTCGAACCTGGAAACCATCCTTGCACTCTGTGATCCATGGCATGATCCTCAACCACGGGAACGAACCCAGCTGCGGATCTATTCCCCATCATGCGGCCTGGATATCTAAACATCATGTCTTGGCCTGGGGGTTGCGGCCCGCAGTAATCTGATACATAACCTGCCCTCTGCAGCGGATAAAATCCTCCACCAAAGAGCTCCCCGGGGCGCCCTATTTGGTGAAGATAATCAATCTCCATGTTTGGATCAGGCAAAATGTTCCTCGGGGGATGAATACTAGAGCCCGGCGCCCATGGCATCATGACTTGAGGTCCGGCAAAAGGGACTACTCTGGTGCGATCTGGAGCAGCCATCAGATGGCTGTTGGGAGGGAGCGCATCCATTTCTTGAGGGCCTTCCACCACTGGCCCCTTGAGTTTAAAACTACTACCTCCTACAGACTTGTTCATATTGTTCGCCGCTGGGGGCTTCAGGACGACCCGAAGAGGCCCGAAACCTGTCACTAAAGGTCCAAACGCACCATTCGAGTGGGGGTTCTGTGCAGGCGGCATCACCATCCCGTGATTGGCTTCCTGTACAGAATCCATGCCCTGCCTTCTCGAGCTACATCCTTCCAGGGGCACAAAACCTTTGGAGCAGCCGGGTAGTACAAGAGGCTTGACCTTCGGTAGCTGGGCAGTCCGGCTGGTGTCATTCATGCGCTGCCCTGCGGCCATCGCCACGTCGTTGGCTGTCTGACCCTGGACCTGACCCCTCCCCTTCCCTTTATCGGCAGTATCAATGTTCCTCATGAGAGCCTTAGGTGCACTCCCCTGCTCCCTCACCATCAAAGGCTTATCCCCACCATCATCCCCTTGCTGCTGATGCTGCTCTGCTCGATGGACAGGTTCATGGAAGGGCTCTTTCGATGGTCCTGCTAGTAGCAAGGGGGCGGAGGAGCTCCATAGAGCGGGCTGAGGATCTCGCCAGACATGTGCAACCTCATGGCCCAATTCCCCGCAAGGCACATCGGGGGAGGCAGGGCGAAGGCGCTGAATCCAAGTGCTCTGGAGAGCCGAGGAGGCAGGGCGCAGTGAGTCGTGTTTGACACCGACATATCTCGACGCCAGGGGCAAAGGTTGCATGATGGGCGACGCCAGACGGCTCTCATATCTGCTTCCCCCCGGTGGTTGTACGCATGCACCATTCCCATTCTGAACCACACCTTCTGCTACAGCACCTGCACCTGCACCACCGCCTCCTAATCGCTCTCGAGCTCCCGGCATGTGCAGCTTGCGTGCAGCCATGCCCTCTCATCTCACTTTCCCCACATTGCTGCATTGCAGCTGCTTTTGCTCGCCCATCTACCTCGTCCTCCTTCTCTTCGCGTCACTGCCGCTCCATCCATCAATTCGTCCTCAGCTCCTCCTTCATCCCATCTCATCTCGCCTCACCTCCCGTCAGCTCCTCTCATCCCATCTCACCGGACCCCATCACCTCCGCATCTCCCCGCCAATCCTCCTCCTCTGTAACTATCCTTCCTTCCCTGCAGCAACTCCTCGACCTCGTCCTTCACCCCTTCATCCCCGAAAACAGCTCCCGAGCCCTTCTCCTCCTCCACAGCCACCCGCATCGGCCATATCCTTCCTGCTTCCCTTCAACTAAAGAGCCACGCCGCCGAATTTTGTCCTCTTCCCTTCTTCCCTTCGCCACTACACCACCGGATTCCACCACATCCTTCCAAACCAACAAAACTGCGCAGCCCAAGAAGACCGACTTATCATCATTCCATGCTGCATACCTCCAATTCCCCCCCTCAAACCCCGTCTTTCTCTGAGAGAAACACTTCCCCCCCAACCCCCCAGCCACACAGGTAAGCACAGCGAAGCACCAGGCGACCGACACACACACACAGCTGAAATGAGCCCGCTTCGCAAGGCCAGGGCAAGCTCCCCCCACCCCCAACCCCGCCCCCTCAACCAGCTCGACTCGAGGGAGGCAGGCAAGCAAGCACAGACGACAGCCGCAGCAGCAGCCAGACAGCCAGACAGCCAACAGACCAAATCAGACAAGCTAGCCAGCCAGCCACAGAAGAGGAAGCTGCGGTGAAAGCAGGCTCTATGTCCTCCGCTTCGCCCTCCTCCTCTCCCCCTTGAGAAGCAAATCTGCCAATTAAAAAGGATTAAAAACTTGCAGGCAAGGTGCGGAAAGCAAAGAAAGCCTACCCCAAAGCCGTAGAAGATGAGAAGAAGCAGAGCCGAAACAGAGAATCAGAGAGAGAGTGGAACAGAGCGCAGCAGAGAGAAGTGGTAGCAAAACAGCACTCGGAGGTTGGGAGAAGGGAGCAGAGAGACGGAGGAGACCCAACAACGAAGCAGGTCTGCACAGCAGGCGGGGGCGAGAAGGGCATCGAAAGCTGCGACATAACGAAAAAGGCGAAAAAGCGTCGGGCGCAGCTGGAGCGTTCCTAGGACCTCCTCCCAAAAATGAGAGGCTCTCGTGACTCGAGGAATCCCACCGGCTGCAGCCGGTGTGAAGAGCAGGGACTCTCGCTCACCACACCAGCAACTGCGGCGACCGCCAGCTGCCCGGAGAAGACGGTGTGATGGAATCTCGTACAAGAACAGTCCGGGCGGCTGTAGTAGCCGTTCTCCTTCCAGATGTGCTAGCATCGAACCCTGCCCGAAGACCGATCTCGGGCAGGGTGTGTACCAGTTAATCTTGGCAGACAAGTGGGCCAGAGGGAAATCCACATTATTATCATGATTATCGGAGATTTATTAATTTTCGTTTATCAGATTTCCCTGCTTAGACACTGCAAAGGTGCGCAACTTACCTCGGGTCAGTTTAGCCGGAACCACGGTATAATCTCCACACCACCGTCAAATGCGGTCCCTGCAAGGATAGATTACGTGGGCCCATGTCGTGTAGGCAAAGATTCCTGGAATTGGATCTTCCCCGTTTTAGACCAAACCGCTGGAATCACCCGGACCCTTAGCCAATCATCTGCTTCATTGAGCCCTAGTTTTGCTTCTATAAATAATTGCAACATCCCGTCATGTATGGATACTTCGAGTGCTAGTACTCCATTTGTAAACCAAGAACAAACCCGTACTTTTATAAGATATCTCCTCAGTGCTCCTTTCCATTTGCGTCAAAGTACATAGTGATCGCTACTTTTAATATGGTTTCCACAATCTCTCGATCTCATTTGAAGAAAACATGATGTTACTATTATAAGCTAGTTGCTACATTGCATGGATCTATATAGACATCGAAGAGAATCTCTTTCTCCATTGTACTGCTGAGAAGAAAAACCTCCCATCGTTTTTTCCACATTGATTCTTCGACATATGACGGAATAGGGTTATTTGAGTTGTACAGATAATGAGTATAACATAATTAAGTCATACATCTATTAAACGATACAAACTAAATCACGTCCATGTTATTCAGATCTAATATACTCTGTCTGAATACATTTGGTATGTACACAATACCAAACTAACTCTCTTTGTTCACATAAATTAGTTAATGATACATATGTGAGATATATCTCATCAATATAGTTATAATGCATATAAAATGTTTTTTGTTACAAGTTCATTTAAGTCTTTGTTAACTCTAGTGAGCTATATTAATCACCTAGTTTTCGCATGAGCTCTTTATGACACATATAAGATTTTTGAGTAAAATACTATGTATGTTTCACGTACGTATCAATTGTGTTGAGAATGTTTGTCACTGAATAAATCAATCAAGATTAATTAATGATATAAGAACACAATGGATACTCCACTACTGAAAATGAAAAAAACATGGAAGAAAAAGAAAACATTGTCACTTGATAGTTGATACTCATACATGAAAAAGGTCTTAAGTAATTGTTCTTCTCCTCATATAGATTTTTGTCATAATTTTTTAATAAAAAAAATTAAGTCTCATCGTCACCATCCAAACAACTTCTTAGGTATCAATAACAAGAAAAAAATTCACCAGAAGTATATAAATTATTGAGTTGTCACTTTAATACATGCGCATCGTCATTTAACAAACACATTTTACATGAAATCAATAAATATTTCATTACTAGTCAACTTGATATTATCCAAAATTATCTTTAATTTGATTCGGATAGACTGAATATGATTTCTCCTTTCATGATGCAATATTATTTTTTTCACATACAAAAAAATTAAAAACTATCAGGTGAACATCAGTTATATTTTTTTCCCAATTTTAAGACTGATTCATTTTTTGAAAAAGAAAATACTTTATTTCTAATTATTTTTAATTATTTCGCCCAATAGCTGCTTCCTCTTCCTCGAGTTTTCCCACCACAACCTCTCGTCGATTTGCAATAGTGTGATCGTGAAATGTGGGAGCCGAACTTGCGTGTTCTTGGGTGTAACCCGCCGTCGCAACGATAGATTCAACTCGTGCGAATTGAAGGTGACGCCATTCAAATTTCTTTCTCGTGCGGTGCCATCATTTACTCCGCTGGGGATACTTTGCCGAGAGAGCTTCAGAGGTAACTCTAAAGTCGTCATTTCTGAATACAGAATCCTCGTGTCCGAATATTGACCTAGGTATTCGGAGAGGCTGGAACTTCGCCAGTCCTCCCGTCACTCGAGTCTACCTGATCCGTATCTTCAAATTATGACCTCATCGGCCTCCGCAAGCCAAGCTCTTCACCTGACGATCCTTCGTACTTCCTATTCCTACTTAGCATCTATAGTAAAAAGTCTTATTCTCTTCTATTCTAATTACTACTATCTCAAAAGTTGAAACTTGCATGGATTGTTGAGGTTAACTCCGATTAAGGAGTAATCTCAGGCTCTAGCTATTTATAGTTATGTGTGTCGTTGGCTTTGGATATAAATATACCCCCAAAGCCAAGGCTTCTTTGAGGAGCTAAAGCATTGTGTATTCACTTGTCAGTAAACCTGCTCAGTGTTCCAGCCGTGGACGTAGCCCTCGAGGGTGAACCACGTTATATGAAGTACTTGTCTCTTCTTGATGACAAAAAAGTGTTACCGAGTTTGGGTACACTTGATTTTGCATTTTGTGAACACTGCATCATAAGAAAACAACATAGGCGAGCTTTTAGTGTCGGAACTCATAATTCCAAGGAGATACTAGAGTATGTACATAATGACGTATGGGGTCATTTCCTACTACCTCACTCTCTGGAAAGCTCTACTATGTTTCTTTTCTAGATGATTACTCTAGGTATGTGTGTTTATATTATCTTACCCACAAGTCTGAGGTTTTTTTCAACCTTCAAAACTTGGCGCATTCAAGTTGATAATCAGACTAGCAATAGGGTCAAATATTTACGATCAGATAATGACGGCAAATATACTTCTGAGTAGTTTCAGAGATATTGTACAGAGGAGGGAATTACTCGTCACTTCACGACAGTTTACACTCTCCAACAAAATGTCAAATCTGAGAGACTCAACAGAACAGTGTTGGAGAAGGTGCGGAGAATGCTAAGTGAATCGGGTTTACCAGGAGAATTTTGGGCCGAAGCCGTCAACACCGCAGTTTATCTGGTAAACCTCTCTCCTTTTAGTGCAATCCAATTTTCCACACCGTTTGAACTCAGGCATAAACGGATGGCGGATTACAGCCGCTTGAAGGTTTTTGGCTAACTGCGTATCCTCTTACACCAAAGGAGCACAAAACTAAGTTAGACCCTACGTCCAAGAAATGTCGTTTTCTTGGATATGCTAGTGGAGTGAAAGGTTACAGGCGTAACCTGAAACGTCTACTAGGAGATCGCATCGTGCTAGTAGGGCTCCTAAAAGGTTTGGTGTGTGGGCAAATTCATCCATTCTAGAAGATTGTGACTTTGATATCGAAGATAGGGATGGTATAGCGTTGATTTTGGAAGAAGTTGAACCTTCTTCATGCACGGAAGCTCAAGCTTCGATCAATAAGCTTGAGTGAAATGCTGCTATGGAACGGGAGATGGAATCCCTGATTGACAATAAGACTTGGAAGCTGGTTGAGCCTCCTACCAATCAAATGCTGGTTGACTCCAAGTGGGTATACAAGCTAAAAGACAATCTAGGAGTAGACTAGGCAAAAATCTTCAAAGCTAGGTTGATGGCTAGAGGTTTCACCCAAGAGAAGGGCGTGGACTACAACAAAGTTTTCTCACCGGTAGCTAAGTATGCTACAATTCGTCTGGTATGTGCACTGGCTGCGATATTTGATCTTGTTATGGATCAGATGGATGTGGTTACAGCTATTCTCTATGGATATTTAGAGGAGTAGATCTACATGAGACAACCTGTTGGTTTTGAGGTCAAAGGCAAAGAGAGGTTGGTTTGTAGATTATTGAAATCATTGTATGGATTGAAGCAAGCTCCTAGGCAGTGGAACACGCGATTTGATCAGTTCATGAAGGCACGATAATTCTTTCGGAGCGTGTATGATCCTTGTGTCTACATGAAGAAGGTAAATGATGAGACATTCAATCTCATCATTTTAGTACTCTACGTTGACGATATGCTCATATTGGCGAAAAACCAATCTGATGTTAATGAATGCAAGAGTAAGTTGAAGTCTGCATTTAAGATGAAGGATATGAGAGAGTCGAAGAGAATATTAGGCATGGAGATACATAGGGATCATGAGCAGAAGAAACTATGGTTGAATCAAGGCAAGTATGTTCGTCGTATACTTCACAGGTTCAACATGATGGATTCCAAAGGAGTATGGACTCCTTTGGCAGCACATTTCAAACTCTCTGCAGCTCAATCTCCTACGGATGCGGTGAAGAAAGGAAATATATCATGTGTTCCCTATGAACAAGCTGTAGGCAGCCTCATGTATTTGATGGTGTGCACTAGGCCGGACATTGCTTTTGCGATGGGCAAGGTGAGCAGGTACATGTCAAATCCAAGGAAAGTTCACTAGGAAGCAATGATTGGATTTTGAGATATTTGAAGAGTACTTTGGATTATGGCTTATTGTTTGATGATCTATTAGACAATGCCAAATCCTTGTTTGGTTACGTTGATGCTGACTATGACAGGATCTAGATAAAAGAAATCTACAACAGGGTATGTATTTTGTGGTAACCCACTTTTTGTTTTTGTGCGGAATTTAAAACATTTTTGGAAAACAGTACCGCAGCAGCCATGTAAATGGTAATCGGTACATTTAAATAGAGTGAAGATGGATAATCGCGGGTCTCATATGATCTCGTAGTATCCAGGAGTTGAGCGCAATGTCCGGAGCAGGAGCCCCGACCTGAACGATCGATTCTGAAGGAGAACACCTTCGGCGCAAGGCGCATAATCCGCCTTCGGCGATACGCCTTTGGCGCTAGGAAAATCACTCAGAGCTTATTCAATTCATAACGCCTTGACTTGATTAGGGTCTCGTTGATAAGAGCTCAACACGCTCGTTCTAACGAGCCCAAGAACGCTTAGAACGGATGAGGACTCAAGGAGTTATGACTATCGGAAGGTACGTAGACGAACGCCTTCGGCGGAAGGAGTTCGCCTCCGGCGGAAATTCCGCCTTCGGCCCTAGATGTTCGCCTTCGGGGGTGAATGTCTTTGTACGGCGCCTTC